TTTTTTCAAACCCCTTTCACCCGACAAGTATTTAAATTGCCTTTAGTCTAAATAATTTCCATCAATAACAACTCCTATTTTTTGTGCCATGGATGTGGAAACAGAACCRGTACTCCCACGCAGGTTTTCTTTTCTGTCTTTATTTTTCTTTAAAAAAAAACCCTTTTATTTAAAGGTGATGCAGTTTAGAGTCTGATCTTCAGTCAACAGGTCTAGATACTTCACATATATGAGCTTAGATAAATGAAAACACGATGCTTTAAAATATCAGCGCAGTGCGTAAATGTCTCCATTTACGCACGCACACAAACACACACGGCCAATTCAAGCCATTCTGCCTCTCCGCACGTATCGGCCCACAGCCCACGCTGCGTGTCTGTGGGAACATCTGTGATGTGAACAGTGACGTCTGAAGAGCTCTGGGTGGGTTTGACTTTCCTCTCCTCGAGCCCCCACTCGGTCCTCTCCGATCCTATGCTCTCTCCTCCTCCCACCTTTGTTGTGGCCATCTGAAGGTCTTTGAATCACCGTCTAACAGGACGTGTGTTGGAAGGGATGGGGTGATTTTTTTTTTTTGGTTTGTTTTTGTGGCCTCATTGGAGGAAAGTTTGCAGCAGAAAAACAACCTGAAGGTCAAATCATGATGAACACGTTTTTAATGTTCCAGGAACAAAAGGAGCCTTTTTATTCTGTCCAAATAAATGGGTGACACTTCACAGAACTCAATGTTGTTATAAGGATGGCATTTATTCATAGTTTTTAAAGTGATATTCTGCTTTATATCAATACTTAGAAACTTAGGCATGGCACCAAAATCAAAACTGTTTTGGGACATTTGACACGTCATGTTAATCACATTTTGATAAACACACATCTACTTTAGTTTTCTTTTACTTTTCTTTTTTTTAACTTACAGTTGAAATGAGATACTAGAGGACTACTGTACATTTCTGTTTTGATTTTAAATAATGTATAAAACAAGGAGAAATAAAAAAATGCAACAAAGCTTGGGACTCAAGAGGATAAAATTTAATTTATCTGTCTGATCAAAAGGGGATAAAAGGGGATCCATGTTTCATCTCCCCATCTTTTTGATGCCCTATACAAAACCACCTAAAAATAAATAAAAAATCAAGCCCTTGTTTGGTTAAGCCTAGCCTCCACAAAGACTTTTGCCCTCCTTTAGTGTTTGCTTTAAGACTGTTACAGCAGGTATCTACTGATAACAGCACTTATAAAAGTTGTCTGAACACTTTATATTACAGTTTATTGTTGAGCTTGCTGCTCCCTCTAAAACCTCTAAACCTGAGACAGATTGTTATCTTAGGTCTGAATCAATTCCTTAACAATATAAAGTATAATCACATTGGGTTACARGTGTTTTCATCTAATTTTATAACCTTTTTGAATCCATGATTCTGTTTGTGTGAATCTTATCACTTTTATTACTTATTTTGTCCACATTGCCTTTATGTTCTTAGATAAGAGTGAGTGAGTTTTTTTGGTTAAATAAAGGATTAAATTGAAAACAAATAAATAAGAATTGTAATATAAGCATGTGATCGCGTTAGAGCAGGAGAGTTATTTTGAACCCACACCGCCATCTACTGGATAMACACCAGAAGTGCAGGTCAGACTGACAAACTGCTTTCAACATTTTACATGATTCTCTGTAACTCTCACCTGACTTTAAAATAAAAAAATGTTTTTAAATATGCTGATTTTCACTTTGGAAGTTTTGATTTTAAAACAATCTTTGCTGACTTTTCACCTGTATATAGTACATTAGTCAGTATGCAAATGGTCATTCTTATTTTTGTTTTTCTTGATTTGTTTTATGATATTCTTCTGCTTTCTGTTATGTGATGTTTTCTTGTTTTCTGAACAGGTCATAGCTGAAAATGAGAATTTGCTCTAAATCAGCTTACCTGGTTAAATAAAGGTTAATAAAATAAAAGTCATCTTGACATTTTCAGCTCTAAATGTTCAGATTTAATCTGACTGTGGTTTTAAAGACATAAAATTTAGTGAGTGCATTGATGTTTCTGCTTTTTCTGTTCTGTTTTCACAATTTTTAAAATAAAACTGAAACTAATAAACATAATAATATGAACATGACATGACCTAATATGAATATTAAATTAAATATATTAGTTAATTTTTCATAATTTAATAAAAAGGATAAAATATTCAGCATCAATTTTGTTCAAATAATTGTTAGGGGGGAAAATAAATTGATATTTTATTGTTTTTAGTCTCAAAATAATCTGCTTTAAACCCAGCAGTGACCATAAACTACATCTCCCATAACACATGTTGGTTATTGATGGAAATTCCCTGTCAGGAAGTGAGAGTTCAGGATTCAAAAGAGCAGCTACTCACCACAACTCAACACTGAGTAAAACTCTTACTTTACTTTAATAGTTTTTCTGTATTATTCATTTCACAGTTGTACACATAGTACTTTTTAGTGTTTGTAAGAGGATGTGTTAAAACACTGTTTCTATGTGGGAGAAACCACATAGAGCTCAGTTATTAATTGTTAGCGGTGCTTRGCCGTAGCAATGAGATGAGGAACAAGTGAAGTTAATTACAACTGGCCYTTTGAGGCACGTAAAATAAAGCTCACGTGGCCCTTAGCGATCACATAAAAATACTGTAAATGTTTTTTTTTAATAAAACTCGAACTCTTTGACAAATTGTGCGCTTTTAGTTTAGAATTTTAAATCCTAAATTAGCTTAAAGAAAGCAAAAACACTCCTTAAAATTTGATTTTCTTTGAATTTTTTGCGAGATTCTTTGACCTTATGAGTTTTGTTAGAGGAACCACAACAGGCCAAATTGGACATTACCACAAAACATTTTTAGCCAAAATCTAGTTTGCTGTAATGATGGATAACTACATATTTCTATCAGAATATGAAGCTTTTCTCTCTACATCATGTTTATATAAGTGCCCGTGAAAAGTAGAATCAGCTGTTTTTGCCACTTGCTTTGCAGGACAAACATGCAAAGTTAATTGTTTTGATTTAAAACTGCAAACCAACATGTCTGCAGACAACCACCACAGTATTTACCTGGGCTTCAGCTGCAGCATGCCATTGTTCTCACTGCGTCTGTGTGTACGTCTGTTAGCAAAATATCTAAAGGATGATTACACAGCTATTAATGATCTTCTCAACAAGWAATTATTGACTACATCCCTAAATTATCACCTTATGGAGACACTCTAATTAAAAAAAATCACCAACACATTACACAGTGTGCAACATCTTTGCTCAAATTTATGACAATAAATGTTGGAATTAGCCTTGGCTGACTGTTAGCTAAATATCTCAAGAAMCATTGGATAGGTTTGCCAGTACCATATGCTGAAAAACAGCCCCACACCATGATGTTCCCACCTCCAAACTTCACTGTTGGTATGGTGTTTTTGGGCTGGTGTGCAGTGCCATTTGACCTCCAAACATGATGTGTATTCTGGCATCCAAACAGTTCAATGTTGGTCTCATCTGACCAGACTATATTCTCCCAGTATTACACAGGCTTGTTTAAAYGTTGTGCAGCAAACTTTAAAGGAGCTTCAACATGCTGTTTCTTCAGCAGTGGAGTCTTGCGTGGTGAGCGTGCCTACAGGCCATGGTGGTTCAGTGCATTACTTATTGTTTTCTTTGAAACAATCGTACCTGCTAATTCCAGGTCTTTCTGAAGCTCTCCACAAGTGGTCCTTGGCTCTTGGACAACTCTTCTGATAATTCTTTTCACTCCTCTGTCAGAAATCTTGTGAGGAGCACCTGGTCGTGGTTGGTTTATGGTGAAATAATGTTCTTTCCACTTCTGAATTATGGCCCCAACAGTGCTCACTGGAACCTTCAGAAGTTTAGACATTCTTCTGTAACCGATGCCATCATTATGCTTTGCAACAATAAGGTTGTGAAGGTCTTGAGAGAGCTCTTTACTTTTACCCATCATCAGATGGTTCTTGTGTGATACCTGGCCATCATTTGGGACTGAACCAGCTGATATTAACTTGCATTGACAAGGGGCAGGCTTGCTTTCTAATTACTGAGAGAGTTCAGCTGGTGTCT